ATAAAGTTGTGAAATAAAACATGTATTCTGGTAAGTCAAAGTACAATTTATCTCATGGGAAAAGTGCTGATGGGAATTTTTTTGGCCTAAGTGCTGAAATGGAAACTGATACCATTAGTGATCAGAAACAGAATGTGAAAGAATCTTTTTTCTTTCCTACCTGTAAATGGGATGACTTGGTGAGGTGGAAAGTGGATAGATTGTTAATATCTGAACCTCGGCATAGTGATGTTAAGAAGCACTGATGTTTGTGTGTGCCGACACATCTCTTGCCTTGGTCAGACCTGGTTTGCCTGCAGGACTCTACATTCCAAGTACTCCAGCTGCATTTAAAAATGCAAGAATTATTATTGCAAGTAACTTATTGTGTGAGTTGCTGTAATTTTTCAATGTGATCCAGTACTTTGTTAAATGCTGTTTGTACTGAATTGTATTCATTTAATAAAGGTTGGTGCAAAGTCAGGATACAGCCACTAGCTGACACTAGTCCATTCGTTGCCACTAGGTGTGCTGCATGCTCTACCCACCCGTGCCAAGTAATGAAGACTCTTTGGCAAAATCATTATCCGAATAAAGGTGGATGACACAGTACATACAGCATGTTGTTCCTGTTATTGTATAGTTTTGGGATGAGAGCAATATATAAAAATATAATTTTGTTACTCAATCCATGACTGTTTGTGCGACACTGTTTGCAATTGGCTGCAGTGTTTCGCCCACAAAAACAGTCAATTCACGTTAGTGTATTCTGTGAAGCGTTTTGAACGTCTTGAAGACGTGATAAGGTGCTATATCAGATGCAAGGATTATTATTATAATGTAAGCAAACTTTAGAGTCTTTGGCCCTGTGTTACTTATGGGCAAGGGCACTATAGTCTTGTCTCCTGCAGACTAGAGCTGCAGTTGTATATTTAAATGGCATTTGTGGGTTCCAGGAAATCGTTATTCACCAAGCTGCTGAGCTGTACCTTTTGTCCTCCTACTTTTTTTCAAAACTGTTATAAATGTGAGTGTTGACAGGATGTCCTGAGCTGACTGTTCACAATGCATGTTACCACCGGGGATGAAATTGTATAATAGCTATACAGCAGGGGAAAAAATCTAAATTCAGCCGCTTTTGCCAGATGCCGGTTAACCCAACGTCTGATAAATCGAACGAAACCCCTGGCCCCAATTCAGTTGTGTTCTTACCTGTTTTAACTATGACGGCTGATTTTGACGAAAATACGGTTACTACGGACAAAATGCCGCGCTGGTCACTGCTGAATGTAGTCGCTTGGGCAGCCACAAGGGGCTCCCGGTATGGATGGGAGGAGTCTAAGATTGATTGACAGTGGACTCCAGCCATTCACAAGCGGCTGAAGTTGGGCTGTCAATTAGTGAGGGGGCGGAGCAACAGGGAAGAGCAAGGGAGGGAAATATCATGATTGACAGCTGAGCCGCTTGTGAATGAGTGGAGCCCAAACATTCACAAGCAGCGACGGGCTGTCAATCACCTCAGGCCACCGCCAATTAGCCCCGTTCCTGTCCGTTGGGAGGGAGGAAGCGCCGGCACTTGTCTGCTGGGTAGACAGTGCTTTATGGTATTTTGCAGCCAAATGAAGGTAAATCTATTTTACTAAATTCTGTTAAGAGTATTTTTTTACCTTTGACTGGTTAGTTAACATTGCTTCAATTGAAACAACATTATTACATATTATACGGTGCCGCCGCAGATCCTCTACTGGTATTTTGGTTAGCCGCGGACACCTCTTAACTTGGACAAAATGTCTGTCACTGATGCATCGGGCTTAACCGGCTTCCACTGTACTATTATTTGGTGAGTACTGTTAGTACAGCTCCAGTATGCAGAAGACAAGATTAGTGCCACGGCCCATAAACAACGCAGGGCCAATGACTCTGGAGTTTTCTTATATTGGCATTTTAAAACTAAACAATCACAGCAAAAACAGGCTACCCTCTTTCAGCAGGAGAATCAAAATACTGTTATATTAGTGCTGTAATCCTTCGGTTAGATGCATCTACAGCTTTTGATTTTATAGTAACCTTTTCAGATTTATTATTGTTTTATTCAAGTACACTTTGGAACTCCAGGCTTCAGATATCTCATTTATTGAACAATATTCATCCTTAAACCCTGATGCACTGGCAAGTCATGGTGAAATGCAACTATTCTGGTGTACAATCCTGTGGGCACAGAGTCCGCTATACAAGTGTGGAGCGTGTTGTCAGCATGTGCCCAGCTTGGGCTGTGTGTATAAATGAGACCAAGTTTCTGTGTGTGTGTGTTACTGGGGATCTTCTCTAATGACAGGCAGCATTGCTTTCTTCTCATGGCAGCAATGTCAGAGTCGCACACATCTGAAGAATTTGGTTTTTTTTAAAAAAACTAATTCTCGGCAGGAGCTGAACACATGGTGGGGTGTTGCAGTGAAGTATCTTGTGCCACCTGGGCTGTCACGTTTAGTTCACAAAAATGCCATTAGTTGCAAAAAGTAAGCATTAAGATTGCATATTATGCAAATTGGATTCATCAGAAAATAGAAAATTGTCTAAGCAAATACGTATGAAAGTCTATGCAGCAATTTTGCTAGGAGGGACAATCTTATTAGTGATGTGCTAATTGTGTTCCATTTGCATATGTAAATTTCCTCTAACACACAACATAAGGTCTGTTTTTATGAAAGGTGGCTTGGATGCTGCAAGGGATGGTTAATTATGTTTACTAATTAGACCAATTTGCATATGTAAATGTAATTGGTTGCAAAATGGCCTCCGTGAAACTTGAAGAATATAATTATGGGACGAAGGTTAATGTTTGGAATTATGTTAATAGGTCTGATTTATATGGAAAGTACCTTTTCCATGCATTGCAAAACACGAGCAGAAAATCAGACTGCCCTGACATCCGTTTGGTGTAAAGAGTGACTATTGGGTCTGATAGCAATTTGGTATCTCCCATCTCCTCTGGTCCCTCACCCAAATGCCGTTCCTCAGATAGCATGCTCTAGTGACCTATTTAAATGTGAGAGGCATCACAGATCAGCAATGAATAATTCTCATTGGATGTTCTCATCCAGACTTCACTGTTGGGAAGTATGGGAGAGTTGAGTATTGAAAGTAAATGGGAACAATGACTTTTCTCTCGCCTCCTCCCCGCCCCCCCTCCCAAAATAGCTATTTAAAATGTCTGAAAAGGTACACAGCTGTTAAAGTTGTGGTGGGTGCCATTTGATGGAGCCAAGATTGTTGTCTTTCTTATCTATCGGTAGTTAATGGGTTGTGCTATCAGTTTGAGTGATACATGTATGTTTTTTTTATATTTATATACTGCAGTATTGGACTATGCAGCCTAAAAAGTTGTGAAAGCAAGCTTGAATCCTATTCAGTTTTTTGAGGTAGCGGATCCCAGCGAGGGTAGTGCTGGGTGGGAGGGTGAAGCTTCAATTTACCTCTGTGCCCCTGGGTGAGGGGAAAATCTGCCAGCTGGAAGGTAGATATCGGTAGAGAACAGCATTGGGCTTAGCTTTCATTCTACCGCGGTTGATTAACCTGCTGTCACATATAAATAATGGCTAGATGAGCAAGGTACCAGAGAGTGCCCAAAGAACCATCCCTGTCTAGAAAGGAATAAAGGAGCCAAAAAGCTTCTCAGGGAAGGGGAGAAAATTGGCATAGAAGAAAGCATTGTTTAAATTTTCTTTCAACATTCTTGCACTGCTCTAAATAAATGCAGCTGAATTGGCCCTACATTCAAACCATTTACAATTCAAGGCATATGCTGGTTCAGCTGCCCGCCTCAAGTGACAAAATCCTTGCCCGTTATCTTGATATTGTTCAGTCCTGACTTTGTGTACTTTTTTAGAAGTTGCACATGCATTTTAAAATAGACAGAATAATAATAATGCTTGCATTTGATATGTCCCAACTCACTTCACATGACCTATTGTAATGTGTAGTGACTGTATTTGCAAACAAACGCAGCAGTATAATTTGTGCACAGCAGTGTCCCTCAAACGGCCATGAAATGAATGCCCAGTTTATTTTGTTTGTCTTTACAAATTGGAGTCTTGGTGATTTATACCTTAATGTCTCATTTTGAATACAAATAACTATAAACTACATTAATTGTACTGTAATTTGCTGGTACATGTTTGGCAATATGTTAGACATATCTGACACAGGAACTTGGTAAATCTCACTGAATTTAAACTATAATGCTTTGTTTAGTCAAATAATTGTATTTTTGTATTGAATATATATTTCACTTGAAAGAAAGGATCCTTAGAAGTACCAGTTATTGGATTTGGTATTGGCTGATTAACTGGTTAAACTCCAGCACGATCCCAACACAAACTCTTGAGGTTCCCAAACTTTGGCTCTTGCCAATTTACACTTTATGTACTTCGTAATTAAAGAGCATAGTGTGACCCTCCATGGGGAATTTGTGCATTCCTTGCCAAATACAGAGAAATTTCCATGCTTGAGTGGCATACATATGTAAAACCCTCAATTCTGTTTAGTTTGAATGTTTTTAAGCACGGTGATGGGTTTCTGTGTGTATTATGCACCTGTTAGATCAAAAATAAAGTACTTTAGAGAAGGTAAATGGAATATTGTATCTCTGGGGTCTCGAAGTGGGAAGGGATTGTATTATTTAAAGTGTTTTGAGTAGTTCCAACTTTTTTGATGAGAGGGAAGTTTGTTTGGTCATTTGTAACTAAGTACATATATTGGTTGTACAATTTGGAAGAAACTTCTAACAGGCAAGAAGAGGTAGCCAGGGAGAGTTGTATTCCTTTGATAAGGTTTTGAGAGAGTATTTATAAATCCTGGAATGTATTTTCTCAAGTGCATTTTGCTTGTAAGATGCAGTTCTGTTGATTCTAATTTTGTGATGTGCAATGAGTGAAAACTTAAATGTATTGTGGGATGGTTCAATGAAGGGTGCTGTTTGCTGCCAGACAGTTTACTGAAGTTTAAACATGTCACCCTGACAGGAAATTGACGAAGCTTGTAAGAGGATAAAGCGAGAAATTGATGACCTGGGTCCTGAAGTTGGAGACATCAAGATCATTCCTCTCTATTCCACATTGCCTCCCCAGCAACAGCAGAGGATATTTGAGCCTCCGCCTCCAAAGAAACCAAGTGGAGCCATAGGAAGAAAGGTAAAGTGATCTGCGGGATTTACAACACGGATTCTCCTCTTGTATTTCTATTATTTATTAGCTCTACCCATTGCAGCTATGCTTGGAACCAAAGGATCCAATATGGAATGTAGATGGACACACAGACAGACATTTCATCTTTATACTTACCTGGGAGTACTACTGTGGGAGCACTCATTTTGGCCATGCTGTTCTGTGAGTGGGCAACTCATTTTGTCGTGCTGTTGCAGTCCTTTCAGCATTGAAGTGAGGCCGAGCTGTTCTTTGTTCTTCAGTTTCATTTAATGAGCCTTCTCTTTTGTCTTGCATTTTCAGTTATCCTTCATAGATTTGATTTTTGCTTAGACATCTTTATAATGATAAATTTATATTCACTGGGATGTCCTGCCGACGTGAAAGGTGCTTTAATAATGTAATTTTGTTGTTGCCATGGCTTAGCTTTGTCTGTATTCTTTATTTTGTTCCCACCGCCTCTTGGCTATGTGCAGGGTGCCACAGCGCCACAGTCAGCTGGTGCGCCCATGAAATGTAACTGCAGCAAAAAACACAAAACTGCAATACATTTTAGGTCATAGATCATAAACGATAGGAGATACCCGAAAACAAATATGCCCATGTCACTCCCAGAAGCAAGACCTTTCTGGTGTGTTGTTTCATTAGTATAGATTAAGATTATTAGTATAGATAGAAGTAGAAGATAGATTTTAGGGTGCAATGTTAGACAAGTTTCTTTACTCCAAACGGCTCAGTTTATCTAGCAGAGATAGGAACGTGGTTGCTAGTCGATTGGCAGATCGGTTTCTGGGGGTATTAATCTTTCCAAAAAATAAATACATTCTAAAATACTTAAATTGTTTGGTTACTTATTCCACAACTGTTTGTGGGATACTGCTGTGTGCGATTGGCTGCTGCGTTTCGCCCAGTCAATTCACTTTACAATATATTCTGTGAAACTCTTTGAGATGTCTCAATGACGTGATGAGGTGCTATATCAAATGCAAGGATTATCATTGTGTACAGAGAACTTGGCTGGGTACAGCATTTTGCAGATTAACTTTCATGATGTTGCAGAAATGTTTATGATCCAGATGCATTCAGGTTGTGGCTGTGGCTGAAGTTGGGCACTCTGATGTTTTTCTTTTTGCCCGTGGAAGAATATCTCCCCGCAATCCCTCTCTGCTGCCCTGAAGTCCCCTGAACGTCTCCCTCTCTGGCCCACCTACCGCACCAGCCCATCCTCTGCATTTATAATAATAATAATCCTTGCATTTGATATAGCGCTTTTCACGTCAGGAGGACATACCAAAGCGCTCACAGAAAACACTGTAAAGTGAATTGACGGTATATTTGTGGGCGAACGCGGCAGCCAATTGCGCACAGCAATGTCCCACAAACAGTCGTAGATTGAAAATGGCCAATTTATTATTGATTTTGTTTTTTTGGAGGGATTATTATTAGGCTTTCCTCTCCTCCATTTACTCTCCTCCACAGCACCCTCTACAACACACATGACGCCCTTGCTCCCCTCACCTCCCGAACTACTTCCTATTCTCGATCCTCACCTTGGTTCACCAGCAACCTCCGCTCGCTCAAGGGCTGGGTGCGGGCTGCTGAACGCACTTGGCTAAAATCTGACCTAACGGTTCACCGGCACATTTGGCTGGACCACATCAAAACCTACCGCTCCGCTCTCACCTCGGCCAAATCGTCCTTCTACTTTAGGTTAATCTTGGAGGCAGCCCCAGCCTCCTGTTCTCCATCACCAACTGGCTCCTCAGTCCGCTACGCCTCGCAGATTCTTTCCTCCGACTCCCACTGCGAGGAAATGAGTCCAAAATCGAGGGAATCCACGCAGCTGTCACTACGCTCCCAACTTCCACCCTTTCCCTAACCCCCACCCACACTCTGACCACTACCTATCCCTCCTTCCACACCTTTGAACCTGTCACCCCCTCCTCTGTCATCACCACCGTATCCTCCATGAAGTCCACCACCTGCTCCCTGGATCCCATCCCCACCCCTCTCCTTAAATCCCAGCTCCACCTCCTTGCCCCACTACTCGCCGACATCATTAACCTCTCCTTGTCATCTGGCACTGTTCCTACCCCCTTCAAAACAGCCACTATCACCCCCACCTTGAAGAAACCTTCCCTTGACCTATCAGCGCTATCAAGCTACCGGCCCATCTCCAACCTCCCTTTTCTGTCCAAGGTCCTTGAGAGAGCCGTTGCCTCCCAGCTTCGCGCTTTCCTCTGCTCCCACTCCCTCCATGAGTCGCTCCACTCGGGTTTCCGTGCTGCCCACAGTACTGAAACTGCTCTGGTCAAGGTCACAGATGACATCCTGACCGTGTGTGATCAGGGCTCCCTCTGCCTCCTCGATCTCTCCGCCGCTTTTGACAATGTGGACCAGTAAATCCTCTTCCAGCAGCGCCATCTCCTCCCATCTCAACCTCCAAGGTTCTGTCCTTGACCAGTTCGCACCGCCTCCACTTGGTCTCAGCTAACGGCGTCTCCTTCAGCCCCCGCGCTGTCTCATGCGGCGTTCCTCAGGGCTCTGTCCTCGGTCTTCTCCTCTTCACCCTCTACTTGCTCCTCCTTGGTGACATCATCCGCAGACATAGGGGTAAATTTCCATAAGTATGCGAATGACACCCAACTCTATCTCTCTGCCTCAACTCCAGGACTACTGGCGTCCTGTCCTGGACGAGGGACAACTTACTCCAACTGAACGTCAGCAAGACCGAGGCTCTCCTGATTGGTTCACGCCAGTGCCTCTGCACCTCGGGCACTGGCAGCATCACTGTTGCACACTCAACCTCGCTAAGCTAGTCAGGAACCTGGGTGTTTTGCTTGACCCTGAACTGTCCTTTCTCCCCCACATCCGCACCATGACTGGCACTGCCTATCACCACCTCCACAATATTGCCAGACTCCGCCACTGCCTCACCCCTCAGGCTGCCGAAACCCTCACCCACGCATTCTTCACATCAAGGCTTGACTATGGGAACTCCCTCCTCATCGGCCTTCCCAACTCTTCCTTTCGCAGCTCATGTACTTTTGGGCACCAGGCTCCCTGACCCCATCACTCCCACCCTCACCCGACTCCACTGGCTCCCCTTCCCTCAGAGGATCAAATTCAAGATCCTCGTCCTCACTTTCAAGGCCATCTATGGCCTTGCCCCCTCCTACCTCTCTGACCTGCTGACTCCCTACCAACCTGCCCGCTCCCTCCGTTCCTTGGTCTCCGGCCTGCTCCATGTCTCCCACCCGACCCACCCTACCATCGGTGGCCGAGCTTTCAGCCTCTCTGCCCCCACACTCTGGAACTCCATCCTACGTCCCTTCGCCTCACTTCCTCCCTTGCCTCCTTCAAGACCGGACTCGATACCCTCTTCAATCATGCCTTCGGTCGCCCTCCCACCTCTCTGCCTTCCCTCATCCCTACCCCACTCCTCCCCCATGCTCGGGTCCTGATCCCTGACTGTCCAGGGCCTCAGGGACGTCCTCCCGACGTGAAAGGCGCTCTCTCAACGTAATTTTGTTTTTGTTTAATAAGAATGAAAGTTGCACGACACTCATGTTGATACAAAATCAATTTTTAAAAGTTACAAACTATTTTCCCCCACATTTTAATCCATGCCTTTATGAGGCATAAGAGACAGATTATTTTTTTTGAATGGAAGTTAATTACTCCCTCTCTTAAGCCCCCCCCCCATAAATACTCTCTCTACTTGTGTGTTTTTTCATGAGACACACACAACACAGCCGATGCATGAATGAGCAGAGGCTGTACGATTGGAGCTGCCAGGTCTATCTCAACATTACCTTGACGTCAGTCAGGCTCAGTTGGTAATACTTGGCTCTGCATCAAAAGGTTGTGAGTTTAAATACTATGAGCTCATGGTCAAGGTTGACTACTCCAGTGCAGCATTAGGGGAGCACTATATTGCCAAAGGTGTTGCATGTTCAGGAGAATGTTAAAGATCCTATGGCACTATTCAAAAAGCAGAATGAGTGTTTCCTGGTGCCCTCACTAACAACCCTGCATGGAAATTGGTCATTCACCTCCTGGCTCCTTATGGAATCTTGCTGTTGCAAAAGGTAATGTTAGCCTATATTTAAAAAAAGTTTACATTTATTGGCATTTAGTGCTTTGAGACATTTCACATAAGACCAATATAACAAATGCAAGTTGCTGGATTGTCAGCAGTAGTATCCCAGCATTGACTGCTTTCCTTTCTGAGGGAAAGTTCTTGACTCTTGCAGGGACCTGCAGGAATGAAGCTGGGATAAGGAACTCAATGAATGATGAGAATCATTATTGTGTCCCCTGTAGAGAGATGTGTTTTAGTGGTCCCCTGATGGCATTGAAAAGTGAACTTGAGTTTATTGAAGGTGATGAACTTAAATGTAAACATCAGCAATGCAAAGAGCTGAAACTTTGGCATTGAAAAATGGGATTTCATAGATAAAGTATCCAGGTCATCTCGAACAGATGTATAGAACTGAGCCAGGTACGCCTCTGAGTGATGTACGAGGGCACATGGAATGGAGATATGTGAGGTGTAGGACTTGGATTTCACTGTGCAGCGTAGTGAATTAAGTTGGTGGTTCCTGCTTACATGTCTATATCCATTGGGTATTTTATTATTCAAATAGTGTGTTTTGTCCAACATCTTATTTGGATAAGAGCTAAACCTTTTCTAAAATGCATACTCTATGGTTCATTTGGTGAAACAATTTGTCTGGAAACATCCAAGTGCAAGAACTGAAGAGAACATGGACATGGTTCCATAACTTCAGAAACATAATCCGATGCCAAATCTGATACCAGCCTGCAAGGAGGGGGGAGAGAAGAAGCAATAGATTTTTTTTAAAAAAATTCAGGCGGAGCTACTGCTGAAATGCCTTCAATCTGCTGAAATTAACATTGATGTGTAGGCAATAATTGAGTGACAAGTGGAACATTGCACCCGAGAAAGGGTCATTCCTACCTTT